CACCAGAGAGAGATCGTGTGTCGTGTGTGCGGCGTGTGTGTGTGCTTGTGTGTGCGTGTGTGCCGGTCGTGTAGTGTGTGTGTGTGGCGTTAAGTGCGTGTGGTGCGTGTGTGGTGTGCTGTGTGTGTGTGGTGTGGTGTGTGTGGTGTGTGTGTGTTGTGTGTGTGCGCGTGCGTGTGTGTGTGTGCGGTGTGTGTGTGTGTGCGGTCGTGGTTGTGTTGTTGCGTGTGTGTGTGTTGTGTTGTGTGTGGTTGGTGTATGTGGCGTGTGTGTGCGTGTGTGTGTGTGGTGCGTGTGTGTTGTGGTTGTGTGCGTGTGTCGTGTGTGTGCGCTGTATCGCGCGCGCGTGTGGTTGTGTGTGTGTGTGTGTTGTGTGTGTGCTGTGTGCGTGTGTGTGTGCCGCAGCGGTGTGTGTGTGTGTGCGTGGTGCTGCCGTGTGTGCGTGTGTGTTGTGCGCGCCGGTGTGTGTGTGTGTGTGTGTGCGTGTGTGCGTTGTGTGTGTGCGCGCGCGCGCGCAGTGTGTGTGTGTGTGTTGTGTGTGGGGGGTGTCGTGTGTGTGTGTGGTGTGTGTGCGTGTGGTGTGTGTAGTGTATGTGTATGTGTATGTAGTTATGTGTATGCTATGCGTATGCGTAATTGCTATGCGTGTGCGTGTGCGTATGCGTATGCGTATGCGTATGCGTATCGTAATGCGTCATGCGTATGCGTATGGTATCGCGGTAGGCGTATGCGTATGGTATGGCGCCCTATGGCGTATGCGTATGCTATGCGTATGTCGTATGCGTATGCGTATGCGTATGCGTATGCGGATGCGTATGCGTATGCGTAAATGCGTAGCGTATGTATATGTATATGTGTATGGTGTATGGTGTATACGTGTATGTGTATTCGTGTACGTGTAACGTGTACGTGTACGTGTACGTGTGTACGTGTAGCGTGTATGTGTATGTGTTTTAAAATGCTATGCAATATATATATAAATATATATAGTATATATATATGATATATATGTATATTACACAACGCAGTCACCCATGTCATGCTTACAAATCGACATGTGAGACATAACGTCGTCGTTATTTGGGAGGAGCTGCATACCATCACGAATTCGCTATGCGATGTTGTATAATGCGGGGTCGTAACGATATTCAACAAACAGGTCTCACCTGCACTCAAACGACATACACGTAACAGTGACCTAGTACCCAATAACAGGAATAGCGTAGAACCGAAAGGTTTATGCTGTTATGCATGATAGTTCATATCAACAGTATATCTAACGTAACGCTGCGAAACTAATTTAATAGCGATTCTACGTAGAGTAGCGCACAGCAAACAATTTTATAATATATACTATACTGACATCGGTGATGAACACTGTTGAGGACCAGTGGCATAGTACATTACAACTAGTACATAGTAGTAAATAGTACATTACAACTAACGCACACGTATAGCAACAACGCATCTCACGCGGGGAGTAGGCACATCAGTATGCCAAGCGAATAGCGACACCACAAATACAATGACGTGAGTGATATTTCGCCGATGACGAATCGCCTTCATGCGACGTTGAGCAATATTATGACACGCGCGTGCTGGCGTCTGCGGTTCTATAGAGTCGAGTAGCTCCGGCTAGCCGCGGCAACGTAAAGCGGCAAGGCGCTATAACGCCGTATAACCCATTTAACACGTCAAAGCCGCACTAAAATCCGTCTCGTTTAACTCAGCGAACAGGATACGCTTGTTGATCGACGTGACGATGCCCTACTTTCTCCGTCGTTGCCGACGGCGCGCTGACGACGCGATTAGAATACGAAGCATCTTCGTGACACTGAACGCCCATCAATCAGCTGGCTGGGCAAAAGCCACGCACGCCCGCGGTGTAAAGGTAGTGAAGCGCGCGCTGCCCTGGCTGCTCATCTGTGTCGGAGCGAAAACACGTCGCAGTCTATATGATCGTAAACGTCGTGTCGCGTCGTGACAGCAACTTAGTTCACGTGACTCCGTCATGGGGCGCCGTATTGTTGACACTTGAAATCAGTGAAAGCGCTACGGGTTGCCCAAAGCTATATATATATATATATATATATATATATATATATATATATATATGAGCATGGGAATGTGTGTGCGTGCGTGTGCGCGAGTGTGTTCCTGAACAAACACTGGATGTCTTGAGTGCCTCTTTATGTGTATTTGCTTCTTTTCAATGAATTGCATTCTATACATATACTTATTATGCCCACGAACATGCATATGCCGCCACCTACCCACACACATGGACGTACACGCACGTACATAGACTTGCTCATGCCGTCGTTCACGCACACGAACACGCACATGCACGCATAATGCGCTCCCGGGCCTCGCGTAGTCGCTGACGCACACGCACAGGAACATACGTAGGTAGGCACACTGGCTCGAGCTCATACTACACACCCACCCACACACACACACACACACACACACACACACACACACACACACACACACACACACACACACACACACACACACACACACACACACACACACACACAACAACAACACACACACTACT